TTGTTTTTTAGTAATGTAGATATTTTACCAATAAAGAACATATTCTGAGTAGAAACCAGACCGTTCTATTTTACAAAACTTCGATAATTAAAAAAAATATTAAWTTTTTTGAGCTATTTGATTTATCACCAGCAAATACAAAACCTAATAGGTAGCTCCAAGTACGCTATTTTCCCTTTACGGGTAGTTGGATCTGTTTCGTTATTGTGCAGATACATTACACATTAGTACACTTTGAATATTGAATATTATCCAAAACAAATTTTTAATGTTAATAGGTTGTCTTATTTTTTCAAAGATCCATTCACATTGTTTAATGTATTTGTGATTAAACTACACATTTAAAAATATCAAATAAACTACACCAGCATTATTTTACTTTAACTCGGCAGTTACCTTTTTTTGATAAGCTATTACACCTAAGCACCATACAAGAACTCCAGTTATTAAATGCAGCATTGAGCTTCTTTTTGATTCATTATTATTCAAATTTTGCTTTAAGATAGAATTTTCTTTCTCTAGCAGATCAATTGATGAAACATTTAAATGRATCTTCTTTTCTTCCATTATAATCTTTAAAAAAAAATAATGTATTCATATCAAGTAGGCAGTAGTTTTATAGCTTAGAGGTCAAAATTACAAATATAAAAATACTATTTTTAAGATAGTAAATACGYGAAATTATTAATTAAAATGAGATTAAAAGAATAACTTTTGAAAGCAAATTATTAATTCAAACTTGAAAAATCAATTAATTCTATAACAAATTTATTCATAATAAAAATAGATAATGAACTTTAATTATTATAAAATTTACCTTTTTTAATTCTAAAATTTCTTTGAATAACTCTTGTTGYTTATTTTCATAGCCATTTATGATACATTGGTATCTTTCATTAATAAAATCTATTTTCTCACCAGACTTGTCGATTACTCTATTATTTTTTGGTCTTATTTTTTTTAACTTTTGTTGAAAATGCTCATATAACGATTGAAAAATTGATAGTAATTGAAGAGATRCCGAATCCTTTTCTTTAATTATACATAATATTTGTTCTTTGTAGCATTCTTCTAAACTATTTAAATTACACTGATGTTCTTTGCTGAGACGACCAAATTCCTTTTTATAAGCATTATGTATTGAAACAATTTCATCATTAGATGTCTCACTCAATGTATCATAATTCCTAATACAAAGAAAAATTTTTTCAAATTTTTAGATAATAAATAGATCCTTTAGATTTTTTAAAATATTATATAAATACTCCAAGTTCACAAGGCCAAAATTATTAGTTAATAATAATTAATTATTAAGTACATATTTTACATAAATATTTAAACTGAGAATCAATGTTTTAGTAATTAAGACCAAATAAACGAATAAATGTAAACCAAGTGCTTAATTGTATAGTTGTATATTTTCTTATTAAAATAAAAAAAATTAAAAAAATGTAAACCAAACACATTTTCAACTCATAGTTAAATTAAAAAAAACATTAGTAAAGATTATAACACTAAGAACTTAATAATGTAATACAACTTTATTAATATACACAGTAGTCCATATTAATTAACTAGAATTTAAAATATTATATATAATGTTTTGGAATTGAAGAAGTAGGATACTTGCTTTATTAACTTAACTAGATAAATAAAAAATGTTACTTATAAGTATTTTAATCATTTAACATTTTCCTCTTTCTTCTTAATATGATATTAATACATTGATGCATAGGCGTGCACAGGGGGGATGCCGAGTATGCCATGGCATCCCCTGCAGTCTACTCAGATAGCTTATTGTTTTATGTTTTTACTTTTAATAATGAAAACTATCAATATTATCATAATTTTTATCACAAATGTAACAGAGAGTTCTGTAGTTATGTATTACATTTTTTTAGAAAAAAAAATTCTGATTTATRTTTATTTTATTTTTTTTTGAAGAGAGTTAAAAATTGAGTTATTTTGAATTATATTGGCATAATGGCATCTCCTGCGAATAAAGTCTGCGCACGCCTATGCATTGATGGTAACATTAAACAAATCAACATTCTACTATACCTAGTCACTTTTATTTATCAACTGTTTGGGTTGTAGTCTTGAAGTTAAATAAAATATTTCAACAACAAAAATACTAATCTATTTGCATAAAAATAATCTAAAATAGTACTCCTTTAGACCTAATATTAATTATCAGCTTTCTATGTAAGTTATGCCACACAATCGTGAATTCATATATTTAATATTTACATTAAAGACATCTAAAAATTAAATTTTAAAATTTAAAATTTCAAGTTGGTTATATGTATTGCTGAAGTAAAGACAAGAACGTAAACATTAACCAGGAAGTCCAAATTGATAACTAGTTAATTAAAAAGGAATACCACAGGCAGTGTTTCAATTGACAATTTATTTTAGTTTAAAATACTTACCACTTTTTCAAAATATATTTCAAAATATAATACTCACATGACTARATAAAATTGTTTTGATACATGCAAATTGATGCAATAAAATATAAAAGTAGGTATAGGTAGTAGAAATTATAATATTAATTATTTGTACAATACTTAACGCAAATGAAAAATGAAAAGAATTATTACTAAATATAATTGTTTTTTTTTTTTTTTTTTATCATTCGTAGACGGTACGCAGCTATTAGTACAGACTTGGATAATGGTCAATTACAATAATTTACAATTTATTTATAATACCTAGAATAATCACAGACCATATAGTCTGTGGTACCTTGGTATCTATAATATTACCCATATTYGTTTGTTTGTATTTATATATAAAGATATATATTTAAATATAAATTTTATTGTTATAACCCATTTTTGAAAAACAAAAATAGAAAATAGAATATAAATTAAACATTATTAGTTATCAGATTATCAAATAACTCGGTCTTCTAGTTATAATAGTCCATTCGTTATTATAATAGGAAGATTTCTAATTCTCTTGGCTTCTTATAATTTACACTATTTACAGTCTGACAAGTTTAGCCTGACTTAGATCTGTTTAAATAGAACTATTGATTAATATGAATAAGAAGTTAAGAATATAAATTATGAACTGTTTAGTCATAGAATATTCTATGGTTTATTGCCACTGTAAATGTAAAACGTTCATAAGTCGGTTCACATTAATCATTACTCACTGTCCACTGATAAAAAGCATGATGCCCAGGCGGCAGGCGCCCAGGTTTGAACTTTGAAGTTAGGTACTTTAGTAATCGTGTCTTAAAAGTTAAAATATTAGGAAATATAAATTATTCCTTTATCTTTAAATTTAAAAATGTTATCAAATGTTTCATTTCATTAATATTAGCGGGAATAAGAGATGGTTTAGCCAAAGAGATCTTATAAATGGTTAGCAGTTATTGGCAACCATGTTTTAAATTAAATGTGTAACCATGCCCCATGCCTGTAAAAATGGCTGAGCACGACCTGTGAAGTTTACATACAAAATAATAATGTAATAATCTTTCGATGATAACCATTTTTTCGAATTATTTTATTTTACTTTTCATCTAAGTTAAATGTTACTACGATATCAAGCCAAATAATATTCCTAGTTAATAATGAATAAAAGATACTTTCAGTAGATTGTTTAAATTTAATATTTTTTTTTTCATTTAATAACCATCGTATTATTTGATCGATACTTGGATACAGAGTTTACGGTAAAAAAACATAAAGGTGAGTTTACCTAGAATTAGGTTTGCTTATAATAGTTATTTCTTGATCATCATTAAATACGAAAATTAATTTTTCTTTCGATGTTTAATTAATACCAGTTTTTGAATTTAACTCGAATTGCCGCTTTGTGGTTTGTCCATTGACCTGGTTTGGTAGGACATGATCTTTGGTTCTGTTTACAAGCTAGGTAGAAATGTCTTGTAACCATTCGGCACAACTGTGGTTATAAATGTATAGAGTACAGATACCATTGTGGATTTGTGGCAATGTCCGGCGTCCGCTCTCTGTTATAAGTGTTTTGACTTATTATTTAATCGAATTATCGATATTTGATTTGTTTAATATTGTATTTAATTTTTGCAAATTACTGTAAAATTATAATTCACACACCTACAAAATGTTACGCTTTAATTATAAGTTATCAAATTTCGATAATTAAATTGAAAACCTTTTCAAAAATCATCCCTATCATTGCTTTTAAACAAAATAAATCTCAACTATACTCACAATAAAGATAAACTATATATTAACTATAATGTAATATTATTGGAGTGATATGTAAAAATGTAATGGTAATTAAAGTATATTGGCAGTTATAAAATGTCTTCATACCACAATGTTGAACATCTACTTATTTATATTATTTATGGAAATATCAAATAGGTTACAAGTCAAAAATATATTTTCTAATGTGTACCTATGCATTTCATTATAATATTAGGTACTTTATGTCTTCCTTTCATAAACGTTTTAATTCTAAATTTCAAATCACAATATTAATAAAAATATGTTTTTTACATTGTAGCATGGTCAA